ACCGTCACTTATTGTCGGGCAGCCTCTGCTTGCCCGTATGCATACAAGAGGTGCTGGAGGTCCAGGAATTGTGTGGTCCGCACAGTAGTCCGCATGACAGCCTTAGAGGAGTCTTACCATCTTCAGCCGGTGGTGTCCGTTTCCTGTTGGTCGACTGCAGACCGGCCAACCAATATAATGCTGGCCATTTGGCCACTGCTTTCTACTTGGATTCAGAGTTGATGCTCTCCAATCAACCTGAGTTCAGGACCACGGCAGAGGTGTATTTTTTAAATTACTTTCTCAGAATTGATTGTCTTTATTTCTCAAAGCATAAACGAAAGTAGCACTTATCAAGACGATATGCTATTTGATCTAAATCATTTGTGAATGGAAGCTCTCTTCAGTGACTCGGCAGAAATAGGAGGTTGACAGGCTTTTACACTTAATGATAGGCATCAAAAACTTCAAGTTATTATCTAGATGCTATTCTACTGCAACTTGGCGAATGTGCATGTGTAAATCTTTAATGGCTTCGGCTCAGGGAAAGTGGCAAATGGGTACTGGTGTAGGAGATGAGTCTTGCTTAGTAATCGTTTGCCAACTAGGCGCGTGTTCTGCCAACTAGTCAATTTATGAGTTGTATTCATCCTATTTTGTTTAAGGTGATGAAGGACTGGTAGTTGAATTTTCCCACAACGATATGAGTAGGGCTGATGTTTTCCATTGAATTTCACATAACTTTGCTTTCCCTAAAGGTGCTCTCATTCAGGGTGAACTGCAGTTTCGACCTCGCATAGGTCTTATCAACACCTCAAGTGGGAGTCGAACCATGATAGTGCGGTGGTAACTGGTAGTCTCGAAAATCGACTCTTACGAAAAAATCATCAATTTGCCTTGTTCATGTCGAGTATAGTTAAGCAAATCAATGGTTAACATTCATTCCGCATAAAACAACTATGTGTATGCATATTTATGCCTAAATTCGTCTTTCTGCATTAATCCCTAAGGCCCTGCTTCAGTCTCAACGACGTGCTATTGCTGCTGGTTCACGTGCTGCTGGAGAGCATATTGCTTTCCTCAGCTCTGGACGCCCCGAGGAAGACCGCGTGGCTAATATGTTGGTTGCCTTTTTCCTGCAGCAACACACGCGTTACGTCAGCCTGGTTGAAGGTGGCTACTTAGCTCTACACGAAGCCCTGGGACCACTTGGCGCTGCATCTAGCCTTGTTAGCCACGAACCTGCTGAGTGTCTAGCTTGCATTGGCACCGGATCAGCAAGCACGTCCACTATTTCTTTTACAAGCCCTAGTAACTCAAATGCCCCTAAGATACCGTTTACTCTTGATGAATATAGCCGCAGTCAGATGGCCAGAACTGTGGATAGATCAGCCTCAAAATCGAAGCATATCAATATCTTTACTCCACCGGATTCAGCCACACTCGCTGTCAACGTGGTCGACAGCTTACTTAGCCGTGTCTCTAATGCTCTCTTCAAACCGCGCTTGGTTGGGCCTGCTAGCACTGCTCCCTCTTCTGTTATCGATTCTAAAGTAGGCCTGGTAATGGCTTCTGCAATTAATCCGTCTTTGCAAACTAGCGGGCAAAAACCGCCATCCATTGCTCATATAATTAACCCGACTAGACCCTCTTCTTTCAAAAAGAATAGAAGTGGAGTGGTTTCTCCTGTTTCTGTATTGGAGCCTGCAACTACATCTGCATCAGCCAATATTTCTTACCGGAATACCTCAGCTGTTTTTAGTATTGATGACGACTTGGAGGACGATGACGACGCCGATGATAATGATGGGCGAGTAGGAAGACAGGAGACTGATGAGAACAATGATTATGCCGATAAGCGGGTTGGAATCTTGGAAAATTCGGCTCAACCAGGCCAACTACCATCGAGGCCAGAGACGCATAAGGGATCTGTCCAACAGCGACCAGATGGAACATCATGTACTGAACTAAATTCTCGAGCAAGACGACGTTGCTCAGGCCAGGTGAAAGCGGCACTACCTATGGTCCAGGACTATCCAGTACGGCCAAATGGATTGCACACCTGCCAAGTAAAAAGCTTTTTAAAAAATTTGACTTGTGTCCATCGGACTAGTAGAGTCCTTCACCATAGTTTGCTAGTTTATTGGATTTTAGGTTTTACGTTTTTATCCTCAGTAAGCAAGGTACATTCAATTTAACGTGACGAGACTTATTTTTTAGAAAAAGTTAGCTTGT